CTAATACTAAGATTTTTAAATTTGTCACTTATTTTACACAGCTTTGTTAAGGTCTATGTCGGTATAATTTTTTCATGAGTCTTATGCATGGGATTTGTTGAGCATCTTGAATTTGTATGTTTATACAAATTTAGGAATTTTTTTCATCCATTATTTATTTGAATATATTATCCGTCTTCAATGTCCTTTGAGGACTCCAATTACACATATATCAACTTGCCTGGAGTTGTCCCATAGCTTACTGATACTTTGTTCATTTTTTTTTCTTTTTTTCTCACCATGTTTTAGTTAGGATAAAATATTACTATGTTTTTAAGTTTGCTAATCTTTTCTTCGGCATGCCAATTATTCTGCCTTCTTTTACATACAAAATGTAATTATAACTCTTTGAATATCATTGTGTACTAATTCTGTTACTCATGTTTCCTGGTAGAAACTATGTCTGTTTCTATTGAGTGTTGGGTTTTTTTTCCCTCCTCATTGCCTGTTCTCTTTTACTGCTTCTTTGTATGGCTGGTGATTTTTGCTTAGATGCCAGTCTTTGGAAACTTTATCTTGTTGGCTGCTATATAATGTTTGTATTTGTGTTAATATTCCTTAGATTTCTTGTGGTTGCAGTTACTAATAATAGAAACCATTTGATCTTTGAGACATCCTTTTCTTTTCTTTTTTTTTTTTTTTTTTTGGTCTTGTTTAACAGAACCAGAGTAGTCTTTAGGGTTAATTTTCTTTCAAGTACTTAAACAATTCTTTTCTGAATTATGTAAATTATGTTTTTCTACTCTGGCTGGTAGGAAAATAAATGATTTCCAGCCCTGTCTGGGCCGTGGGGATTGTTTTCTGTTTCTTTCAGGTGGCTTTTTTTTTTTTTTTTTTTTAGTTTCTGGTAGTTTCCTTACATGCATGTGCTAATCAGTACTTAGCTGAAGACTCAGAGGGACCCTCTGCATATTTTCAGAACTCTTTCTCTGTGCCACTCTCTCTCGTCTAGTGTCCCAGCCTGTTCATTCTGGCTGCCTTTAATTACCCAGACTCTCTTCTCCACTTCCTCAGTTCACAAAGATTGCTGGGCTCCACCAATCTGGAATCCTTCTCCCTTACTGCAGACTGAAAACTCTTCCGGTCTTATAAGCAAGGGTAGTTGTTGAGCCTTCATTGATTCTTTCTCTTGTCTCAGGGATTGTTGTCCTGCACGGCCTAATATCCTGTGTCTAAAATCCATTGTTTAATATATTTTGTCCATTTCCAAGTTGTTTTAGGTGGGCTACTGCTACAACTAGTACTACCACTACTCTCTCTTGGTTGGAAGTGAAAATCTTAATGTTTCATTTTTTTGAAGTATTTTTTCTTATTAAAAATTTTTTTATAGAGACAAGGTCTCACTATATCTTAAATTTTTTATAGAGACAAGGTCTCACTATGTCAGACTTGTCTTAAATTCCTGGTGTCAAGTGATCCTCCCACCTTAGCCTCTCAAGATGCTGGGATTACAGGTGTGAGCCACTGCACCCCTATTTCATTTTTAAAAACTGTATTTTGGTGGAGAAGATGAATGAAAACCATTCCTGATAAAGAGAATAAGCTTTTGTGTCAATATTCAGACAAGGCTTGGAAACTTTCTGTTGTATAAAATACTATATAGTGTGCAATATACACAAATTTCGGACCATTTCTCAGCAATTAAGGTCATTTAGAAAGAAATATACAACAGTACAGGTCAGTAAATGAATTCCAGTTCTTACGTAGAATTGTCACAGTCCTGAGTCAATTTAACTTAAAAGTTGAACTGTTTGCCCTGAATTTCCTGATTCCCTTAAGAATCCAGGAGGCTCATAGATACAGTGGTCATTCATTTTCTCAGCTGTGAGGTAAAAATTTTACTAATTAGCGTTTCTTTAAAAAATCTGTGTTGTATAGCATAAAATAGTATATTATCTCTGTATTATTTTATCTGGATCAGTAAATTAAAGACAGTATAACAAATGTGCTAATTTTTATATGATTTTTGAAGATGTTTTCAAGGATTTTTGAAAATTTGAAGAAAACATCTTCAATTTTTGAAGGTGTTTTCAAGGAAAAAGGAAACACCCTTATTAGGGCCAAAAATGCTGAGAGCACATGAAATTTTACACCTATTCTTTTCTACCAAGGCACTTTTCTAAAGGCACTGTGATAAAGCTAAAACAAATGTGCTTGGTGGAGTGAAGAGCCTTTAGTTTGAGCCACTAGTCTTCACCTTCTACCTGAATCACTTGGGTCCATTTATGTAAAGTCTTTGACACTGTGGGCATAGTTAACAGTGAAATCTTTAAAAGATTTGGTTTGCTTTGTTAAAGCATTTCTGTTAAATAGAGAAGGAAAGTAGAAAATTACCATTAGAACACCACGGTAGGCCTGGCACGGTGGCTCATGCCTGTAATTCCAGCACTTTGGGAGGCTGAGGTGGGCAGATCACAATGTCAGGAGATTGAGACTAGCCTGGCTAACATGGTGAAACCCCATCTCTACTAAAAATACAAAAAATTAGCTGGGCGTGGTGGCGGGCACCTGTAGTCCCAGCTACTCAGGAGGTTGAGGCAGGAGAATGGTGTGAACCCGGGAGGCAGAGTTTGCAGTGAGCCGAGATCGTGCCACTGCACTCCAGCCTGGGCGACAAGCAAGACTCTGTCTCAAACAAACAAACAAACAAACCACGGAATAGTTACTGCAAGCAATATTCATGGATGAATGCTATAATGAGTGGACAGAAATGTAAGGACAGACAGGTATTTGCATCTTCTCACAGTACTTCTCCAAAACATTTCTTATTTAAAAAGAGAAAACTAGTAGTTTACAGTGGAGAAAACTTCCAGATATACCACGTTAACCATGATCAAGGTTAACTTCACCTGTAATAAGACATATTAACATCATATGCACTCATATATTGGAATACATGCATCACATATGATACACTTGAGAAGACTACATCACCTCTGTGGTGATGTGGCTTTCAGAATGCACAGCTTCAATCTAATTATGAGAAAATATCTGACAAACCCAAATTGTAGGACATTCTGCAGTGTGTGTGATATAACATCAATATTGGGAAAGATGAGAGGAAAGACTGGAATAAGTCTCGGATTGGAGAAGACTAAGGAAATGTAAAACTAAATGTAAGGAGTTGGGGGACAAAGTATTGTAATTTTAAATAGACAAGGAATCCCTTACTGAGATGACTTCATAGCTGAAGTAGGTGAATAGGAAGCCATCTGGATTTCTAGAAAAAGAGCATTCCTGGAGGATAACAAATACAAGGGCTTAGAGACAGGAGTATGTCTGATGTGTTTGAGGAATAGCAAGGAGGCCAGTATGGCAGGAGCACATGAAGAGACGGGGAGAATGCTAACAGAGGAGACTAGAGATAACAGAGTAAGGTCATGTGAAGGCCTTGGAGGCCTTGGTATTGGTGCAGGAGTCTATTGTAAATGTGTTTCACCTCTGTTCCCTTTGATTTCTGACGTTCTTTTATTCTGAGCATGAAGGGGATAAAGTATATGAGTATAAAATGTAATACCTAACATCTAGCACTGGGTGTAGTAGATGCTCACTCAATGATTATGGAATTAGTGTACATGGCGAGATGTTTAGAAACATTTTAAAGATCATGTCTTCCCTTGCTAAAGGAATACTTTTCATTTTTAATTACTTCCTATAACATAAATTAGGATTCTGATACCTCTTTATATTTTTAAAATGTAAAGGTTTTAAAATAATTCGTCACCTTCAGTAATATTTATGCTATTGAATAGATGTCTTAAATAAGCTTCTATTTTTATTCGTTTTAGAGTCTATTTTTCTCTAATAACTCACTTTTTATATTTTCAAAGATTCAACATTTTTGTAAAAGTGAATCAATTTCGTATCTTTTTCTTTTCCTTTTTTTTTTTCGAGATGGAGTTTTGCTCTTATTACCCAGGCTGGAGTGCAATGGTGCGATCTTAACTCACTACACCCTCTGCCTCCTGGGTTCAAGCGATTCTCCTGCCTCAGCCTCCTGAGTAGTTGGGGTTACAGGCATGCGCCACCATGCCTGGCTAATTTTGTATTTTTAGTAGAGACAGGGTTTCTCCTTGTTGGTCATGCTGTTCTCGAACTCCCAACCTCAGGTGATCTGCCCACCTCAGCCTCCCAAAGTGCTGGGGTTATAGGCATGAGCCACTGTGTCTGGCCTGGATTTCATATCTTATTTAAATCCTATATTCAGATTGTTTTGTTTTAAAATCTTAAAATTTTTCTCTTTGTTATCTCGTTTGGTTAAAGTGCCAAGTTTTTTTTTTTTTTTAATTGGAGGGGTCCTTATTTGTTTTTATCAGCATGGAACAGTTAAGAAATTCACTTTTTCCCAAGGAATGTACTTATATCAGAGTTATGTGTAGTTTTTACAAGTTCACTGGCCCACCTTTAGGAATTTTAATTACATCCATATAGTGCAACTTTAATTCTGCTTGTTGATAGTGTTAATGTGTATGAGAGCCTTAGATTTAATGTTGAGTACTCGAGAGAGCAAGAGAGTGTACAAGGAGTGGATAGGCACAAAGTATTTGAACACACTGTCTTACATGTTTTCATGATGGCCAGGTAAGCTCTGTCTTTGCATTTTCTGGAAAAGTGTGTAAGGTTATAATGAGCACTGGTTTTTGTTTTGTTTTTTTTTTTTGTAAACTTAGTACTTTGAATTAGTTTAAAAGATGAACCTGGGTTTCAGGAATAGTAAAGAGGTGAACAGGGAGTCATAATGTTGAAACTGGACATTCAGAACTTTCTAGCATGATTTCCTTATTTTTCAAAGAGCGGAAGAATCCCGTCGTTTATCATGTTCTGGTTGGACTCCTTTCTTACTGTTTGCTGGAGTTGAACTTAAGAGCTATGGTGTCAACCCTCCTGTAATATCTCAGGGGAGCTCCTAGTGTGGGGCTGGTACCATGGCTCACCCTCCAACCTTTCCTTCTTCACTTCAGCCTCCAGCTCTGAGCTTTCCAATCCCCAGAGTAGCAAATGTTGAAAGAAGTTGCACAGGTAAGTAGGTGGGGAAAGCGGGGGGAAAAATGGTACTGTCATCAGTATTTTGAGGGTGGATGTTGGGCCATTTTATCAATGAGTCATTTTGTTAGTTTAGAAATACAAAGTTTGTTATAAATTATTTTTCTCATAAAACTCATAAATTGTTTAAAAAAATAGTGTAGAAAAAATAATTTTAATTCTTGTTAGATGTGAAATAGGAAAAAACCTTAATAAACTATTAATATTATAATGCAAAGGAAGGTTCTTAAATTTTTTTAAACTTTTTATTCTCCACAGTTTATATAACAGGTCCAGAAAACCCATGTTCAAAAAAGAAGCTAAAAAAAAAGTTGGGCAAGGCATAAGTCCATAGGCTATAATTTTGCCATATGTAACTTGGTCTCAGAAGGAGGCAAGTTTTGGTTTTCTTCCACTAGCTTTAGATGTGCTATTTTTTCCCGAGGTATTAGGCAGGTAGCTATGTTTTTAATCTTTACAAAAATACAAACTTCAAACATCATCTTCCTTGAAGTCTTGACAGGAGGACTGGAACATTTCTACCAATCTCTAGGTTTGAAGTTAACAAAAATAAGTATAGATACCTGGTACATAATTCAGCAAATATTTGTTGAACGAATGAATAAACTCATCACATCCTGTGTCCTCTGTGTGCATGCGTGTGTGTGTGTGTCTGTGTGTCTGTGTGTGTGTGTGAGAGAGAGAGGGAGAGGTCAACACTCCTGGCATTTTCTCCTTCTCTGCCTTGCACTGGAAATCATGATCTAAACATTACAGATTTAATTTTGTAGGGATGTAGCTCTGGGTCTTCACTACCATACTTTTGAGCTGCTTCTCAGAAAGCTTTCAAAACTTGTTTCTTTTGTTCTCCTACATCTATTCCATATAATTCATGTTCATGTGATTTATAGATTTTTGCACATACAAGACATTCACATTAAACCCAAGAAAAACGGACTCTTAAGATGGCCTATGGTTGCTAAATTTCTTGAGAGAAAGTATGTGAGGGTTAAAAGAGATTGGGGTACTAGTGTATTTGGTATTTCAGATCTCAGAACAAGTCTTCAAAATACTTCTCAGCAATTTATCTCCCTTTTTTTCTTGAGTTTTTTTAGATAACTGGGAGCTCTATACAAACACATCTCCCTCAGCAAAGTACATCCCGTTTTTTTCTCAATATATAGTCATATTCCCCTCCTTCCTCCCTCTTTATCAGACCCATCTTTGCCTACCCTCTTTTAAGGATTTAAAATATTCTCATTAGAATATTTTCCTTCTTTATGCATAGAGGATTTGTTTTGTATTCTAAATGTAGAAATTTTCTACTGCTATATGTCATTCCATTTGTATTTTATAGTTTTACATCCTAATATTTAAAGATAAAGTACTACTTTAATTTCAGGCTCTATTGTGTGAGTTCTCAACTCTTCTTTTTTTCTTTTTTTTGAGATGGAGTCTTGCTCTGTCACCCAGGCTGGAGTGCAGTGGCGCGATCTCCGCTCACTGCAAGCTCTGCCGCCTCCTGGATTAACGCCATTCTCCTGCCTCAGCCTCCCTAGAAGCTGGGACTACAGGTGCCTGCCACCACGCCCGGCTAATTTTTTTGTATTGTCAGTAGAGACGGGGTTTCCCTGTGTTCGCCAGGATGGTCTCGATCTCCTGACCTCGTGATCCGCCCGCCTCGGCCTCCCAAAGTGCTGGGATTACAGGCGTGAGCCACCGTGCCGGCTGAGTTCTCAACTTTTAACTTCTTATTGCTCATAAGAGGTACCAATTATATTTAGTTTTTTAGTTTGGTATATGTGTACTTTTTTCCTGTGGATTAGCACTTTTTGAATAATTAGAATTTTGGTTTTAGGATGATGCACTTAGCTTTTAAAGCTTATGTATTGATTGTTGAAGTGTGAATCTATATAAAGCATATTGGTGCAGCACATTTTAAGATTCTAGAAAACCACAAAGTAGATTATTCATGTTGAAACATACAGAACTTATTCTCTCTAGATCAGAGTCAAACTTGTGGAGGCATTTGTAGCATTTTGGTAACACTCCCTAGAGAATTTGCAGACTTTGGGAGTGCATATTAAGGGATAACGTACATGGCTTTTCGGATTATTTTCTGAATAATCAGCTTCAGACACCAGATTCTAGTTTTCCGGGTTGGGAAAGAGCGATGTGTTTTTTCCACCCTCCCCTCTCCCCACCAACACACACACACACCCTCCCCATCTTTCAGATATAGGCCATCTTGTTTTATTGGATGAGCCCCCCAAAAATACACAGAAATAATGCTAAATATTTCTGTAAACCTTGGAAAGGACTCTGCCAGGATATTTATCTACTCTCCAAAATAATGATTGTGGAAATGTTTGTATAGGTCCATACTTTTCTACTAAAGCCTGTTTCCAACCAGTCATAGATTTTTGTGTGTGTTTCTACATGTTAACTATCTTTGGTATTCATTAAGGCCTTTATTGCTTCTTTATGGTCATTCTGCATTGGCTAAAAATATGAAATGAGTCGCTCTTATTTGTTTCCATGCTATTGATTTGATGATTTGTAATTCTAGACTTTAAAATTTATCTGAATCTTCGCTTTTCTTAGATCCATCCTAAGCAAATTCATGAACTTTTCATTATGCATATATCATATTAAAAATATGAAACCACAGTATTCTAGAACTAGGAGGACTTGAATTTGTTTCTCACGTGAAGAGAGAGTTTTGTTTTGTTTTGTTTTGGTAAAGATTTCCAGGTATTAATGTCTTTGTTCTTTAAGAAGCTAGAATTTATTTTGTGCAGTGTAGATGCCTTTCTGTCCTTTACTTAAGCACTCCCCTTTTTAAAATTCTTTTTCAAGAATTAAAATATAATTAGAATTATTTATAGTAGTTGTGAAGCAGGATAAGCAGTTTAAAATCCTATCGCGAAAAATACTACTAAAACAAAAATATCTTTCTTAACAAATATTTCCAGGTTGTAACAATATAATATTTGATATAGGAATATTCTACTTCCATAGAATTTGGGCAGTCTGTGAGATTTTTACCTATCATGTTTTCCCTCTAAAGGGCAATTATAAAAACACCAGATTGTCTTCAGGTATTAGGATTCCTCATGATTGGTTTCAGATGTTGATTGGCTACACCTTGATAAAAGGCAGCTGAGTGTTAATGGCAGTTGGCTGTGATTTTCTATTAAGTTTCTGCCTATTTTATAGACAAGAACTTGTGCATATTTGTATATTAAGTGTTTGTTGATACTGAATATGGAATTCAGAGAGAAAGAAAGAAGGCAAATTCTAAATTACTCAGATCTCCATTAGGAAAACAGTGCCTGAGAAAGGAACTTTTTCCCTATTCTCAGGTACTGTATATCTTGCAGTTCGCACTCTTCATCTTGTATAATGCAAAACGAGTACAAACTCTGCAGCTGGGAGTGAAAATGTGGTACTCAGTATGAAGCGGTGAAGGAGACAATTGATTTTACCATGTGACACCTGTATCAACATGTTAGCAGTAAAACTCCTCCCTACATTAGAGAATCTACAATAAAAATTTGCTACTAGGGAATTGTTTTTGTTTTAACACAAGTTCTAAATGTGTCCTCTATATGTAATGCTATAATGTCTACATTAGACCTTTTATAATGAAATTAAGAGTTTGGTTATAATTATCCTAATTCCTTGAAGGGTTAAATTGTGTTCACTATACTTAATAAGTACCTAAAAATGTTAGTTCTTTGGGAACATAGAAACCGGGTATATATAACTTTTAATAGTTATTTCTACTTATGTGAAGCCCTCCTTGGATTTTTATTTGAGATGTGGTCTCACCCTGTCACCCAGGCTGGAGTGCAGTGGCATCATCTTGGCTCACTGCAACCTCCACCTCCCAGGTTCAAGTGATTCTCCTGCCTCGGCCTCCAAGTAGCTGGGACTACAGGTGTGCACCACCACTCCCAGCTAATTTTTATATTTTTAGTAGAGATGGGGTTTCGCCATGTTGGCCAGGCTGGTCTTGAATTCCTGACCTCAGGTGATCCACCCACCTCAACCTCCCAAAGTGTTGGGATTACAGGCATGAGCCACTGCGCCCGACGGATAATAATTTGTAATTGATATAATTTCTTTTAAGTGTAACTTCATTCTCAAATTAATGCAACTTTCTGTAAAATACATGTGATTAGTCTTGTAGAGACTGGCTTTTGTCTCACATGTCTATAGTCAGCCATAATCAGTCCATTCTTGTTCTCGTGCTAAAGTGATCTTTTTGACACACATAAATAATCGAATTGCGGTATACCCTACTTCCCATTGTTCACAGCATAAGGACCTCCCTCCTCCAACCAACTTTTTATTTGTTCCTTACCTTTTTTCCCTTTACAAATTCAAGAACAAAACACGCATTAAACTATTAATTGTATATTTGAGAGTCAGTGTACTATCATGGTTAAAAAGGGGGACTCTAGCAAATTGATCTGGGTTCAAAACCCATCTCCGCGTTTATCAGATATATAACCATAGGAAGTTAACCTAACTTCTCTGGTCCTTAGCTACAAAATAGGGATAGTTAATTTTTCTTACTTTATAGCATTATCTTGATAATTACATTAAAAAATAAAATTTAAAGCACTTAAAATATTGCCTGGTGCAATAATTTATTATTTTATAGTTACAGTTATGATAAAGTGTTTTCAGTGACTGTATAAAACAAGAGTCCTAACTTAGTGTGAAAGTTTCAAAGAATGGGAGAAAGGGCATTTTAAGTAGCCGTATCAGCATATGCAAAGACCATGACATGGAAACTACCTTGTGTTCTGAGTAACTGAAGGTATGGCAAGGGTTTGTGGTGTCAGGGGACTTAGGAGAGAAGTCAGAGGTTGCAAACATCTTATAAGCCTTATTGATTTGGGAGTGCTGTTGAAGAATATTTATCAGCAAGTCCATGAAGATAAGAAATTTTTACTTTAAAAAATCACTTTGATATGGGAGAGTAG